GGTCTAATTCAACCTCTCAGTATAGAATTATACTATCTATTATATGTATTTCTACCTATAATAAAAACCTTACCTTGTTAAATATTAAACCTAATTCTTATTCTTTGATTATTTCAATAAGACAGATTTAATTTCAACAGAAATAAGTCATATGTAAATTTCAACTCAATGAATTAAATCTCTTATCTTTACTAAAAATATTTTCCTTCTTTGAGAATATAATCTAGTAACTTTTGGATTTAAACAAAGATCAAAGATAACTTTAAGGAATTTTATGAATACTACCAATTAAAATTGTTGCTTTGCATAGAAGAAGTTATGAAGAAACCAACATACAACAAGTCTATTTAAAACAAGAGAAAGAAGTAAATCTAACTCAAGCTCCGGGAGGGCGTCACACCTTGAGGAACTTCTTGATGTTCTTGCATAAAATCAATAATAAGTGGACTCTCGTCAACTTGCTCTAATACTCCTAATACAATCTAAGTTGTTTTCTGTTTCTGAATCAACTTTTACTATGAATCTCTATTTGTCTTCTCTTTCTTTTTTGCTTCACTTTGGATTGCTATTTATAGAGGAGGGAGAGCTAACTGCTGTTGGTAGTCTGATTTGGTTGGCCAAAAGGTCTTGCAGGTGACTTCTCTTGGGAAGAGTCCCGACCCTTGCAATGGAAAGATATGATTGTAATGAAAAGGCAAGCAATTACGGTCTCCTGGCGTCTCCTGGAAATCTCGACTCGCGCTCGCTCTTGTAAAGGTCGCGCTCGCGACTTCTGCTCCAAGTGTCTCTGCCTCTCAAAAGTGCTTTTCGCGCTCGCGCATATGTATGTCGCGCTCGCGACTTGTGCTGGCAAACCTTCTGACTCTCAAGAGTGTTTCTCACGCCCGTGCAGATGGAAGGCGCGCTCGCGACTTCTGCTCCAAATACGTTTGACTCTCAGGCCTGCTTTTCACGCCCGCGTATGTGAATGTCGCACTCGCGACTTGCCTTTTCTGGGTGTAGGTTGCGCGCGTGACCTCTGGTAGCGCTCGTGACTTGGGCGTTTTTCTTTGTTGCGACTTGCTTCGCGGCGCGAGGGCTGAATCAAGGATTTCTTCCATTTTTTTAACTTGTTTTGGCCTTATTTTTGTATAAAACAAATCTTTGCTCCAACTGTGTTCCTGAAAATTACTTTGAAACAAAACAACACGAACAAACAACAAAACAAAAAACACGAACAAACGTAAAATATACACAAAACAAGTTCATGCATTACATGCAATTTATATAAAAATAACATTAAACAAGGATTTATGCCCGCTATTGCAGAGGCTATTCAGAAGTGACCAAAGCCAAACTAGAGGTGCATAGAACACGAACAAACGTAAAATATACAAAAACAATCATGCATTCATGCAATTTATATAAAAATAACATAACAAGATTTGCCCGCTTTGCGAGGCTATCAGAAGTTGACCAAGCCAAACTAGAGGTGATAGAAAATCTACCACCACTGTCATCCGTAAAAGAAATCAGAAGCTTCCTAGTACATGATGGATTCTATCGAAGATTCATGAAGGACTTCTCAAAAATATCAAAGCCATTGTGCCACTTGTTAGGTAAAGATGTTCCCTTTCTCTTTAACGGTGACTGTATGAACTCATTTTATAGGTTAAAGAAGGCACTAATATCTATACTAGTAATAACGCCACCGGACTGGTCACTTCCTTTTGAATTGATGTGCAATGCAAGTGATGCAGCCATTGGAGCTATACTTGGGCAAAGGAAAGATAAGAAGCATACACCATCTACTATGCTAGTTGGACACTAGACGAGACACAAGCCAATTGCACCACCACAGAAAAGGAATTTCGAGTTGTAGTATAGGCTTTAGATAAATTTCGAGACTATCTATTTGGATCAAAAGTTACCATATATACAGGTCATGCGGCGATCAAATACTTAAACTAGAAGGAGGATGCGAAGCTATGATTTATTAGATGGGTCCTACTGCTACAATAATTCGACTATGAAATCAAAGACAAGAAAGGAACAGAGAATGTGGTAGCAGACCATCTATCCAAAATCAGAAGAGAAGGAGATATCGAAGATGACCCCTTGGTGACAATTCATGATTCATTTCTAGGAGAGCAATCTTTGCTATCTAAGAAATAAGAGCACCATGGTTCGTAGACTACACCAACTATCTAGAAAGTAAATAATTCCTCATCACCTCACTTTTGACGAAAGAAGATGCTTTCTAAGAGAGGTAAGGAATTACTATTGGTATGAATCACTCCTTTACAAGTGATGTTTGAACAGAATCATTCGTAGTTATCTACCAGAAGATGAAGTGCTACACACTATCTTTTAGTGCCATTCTTCACCATATGGAGGACACTTCGGTACTGCAAAACCAGCTGCGAAAATCCTACAGGTTGGATTCTTTTGGCCTAATCTTTTTAAAGATGTGAAGCAATTCATCACCACTTGCGACAAATGCCAAAGAACGGGAAATATATCCAAAAGAAATGAGAAGCCATAAAAAAAAATTCAAGAAGTAGAACTATTCGAAATTTGGGGCATTGACTTTATAGGACCCTTCCCACATCGTTCAACGATAGATACATTCTAGTCGCAGTGGACTATGTATCTAAATGGGTCGAAGCAATAGCAGCACCAACAAATGTTTCAATATATAGTTGTCAAATTTCTGAAGAAGTACATCCTCACCAGATTCGATACACCCAGAGCTCTTATCAGTGATGGAGGATCACACTTCTACAATCGATCTTTGGAGATTCTGCTAAAAAGATACAGAATCACTCACCATATAGTCGCTCCTTATCATCCTCAGACGAACGGGCAAGTCAAAATCTCCAATCGTGAATTAAAGGCCATTCTGGAAAAAATAGTAAATAATTCTATAAAGGACTAATCTTTAAGATTAGATAATACTCTATGGGCTTACCATACAGCTTTCAAAACACCGATCGGAATGATTCCATTAAGACTCTAGTGGATTTGGAACACAAAGCGTTTTGGGCTATCAAAACTCTAAATTTCGACTTGAGGAAAGCATCCGAATAGAGACTACTGTAGATAGAAGAATCAGAAGAAATACGACTTGACACCTACAAGAATGCAAGAATTTATAAAGAGCAGACTAGACGTTGGCATGCCAAAAATATTTTGAAAAGGGAGATTAAAGAAGGAGACCAAGTACTGCTATTTAATTCCTGACTCAGACTATTCCCAGGGAAAATAAATTCCCGCTGGTCTGGGCTTTATAAGGTGATCAAAGTCCATCTGCATGGCACAGTAGAAATTTGGAGCAAGAAATTCGAAACATTCAAAGTGAACCGCCAGAGACTCAAACTCTATCTAACTGGAGAGAACCTGCCTGACGTAAGCGGGTGGAACCTCATCAATCCAGGTTAATACCCTATCCCTAGTTAATATATATATTAGTATATAAATATTTTTTTATAAGTATTAAAAATATAAAAAGGTAATTAGTAATTATATATAGTTAGCATTTTTATTTTTTATCTTCTAATATTATAAATTTTTATCAGTAGGAATATATATACATGTATATTCTTATATTAAGTTCACCAAATATACTAATTATAAAACACAAAAAATAATATAAAATAAAATAAAATAATATATATGTATGCATTTTAGCAGCAAGCTAGGCGAGAGCCTAGTCCCCTAAAATTAGACTTTAGGCCATCGCCTAAGAGGGAACTAAAGCACACCCATGAGATCGCCTACCTCAGCCAAGGAGCCAAGGCAAGCGACCACCTACCAAGAGGTAGGAGATCGACTACCTCAACCAAAAGGCCAAGGCAAGAGATTGCCTAAATGGAGAAAAGCAAGACTAACGCGCACGCCTAACTCTAGGTATGCAACTTTAAGCACTCACTTACTCAACACACATTTGTCACTCAGGAGATCGCTTAGACCACTAGACTAGCCAAATAACCTGTTTAGGGAGTTGAGTTGTCGACATAAGAAGAGATGAGAATAACACATGTCAATCACAGAAGAATAACTCATCCCACACTTGTCATATAAGCCATGAAAAGCACTTTTTGCATGTTTTATAAACAATCCCATGCAACGAAATCACTCCTCTCTCGCCAAACTTTGCCAACACTTAGAGAACTACCAATGTTCAACCCCAAAACACAAAAGCTTCATACCCCCAATAATGGCACCGAGGAAACGAGTTTCAGTAGAACCAGTGACATATAAACACATAAATGACCCAATTTCACCTGGTATGCCTATAGTTCCTGTGCCAAATCCTCTGAAAACGTTCGACAGACCAAAGAGCGCAAGGATTATTATTCCATCGAGAAAAATTAATGAAGAACTCCTTAATTTGATTGAGAATCAGGGAAAACCTTCGCATGTTGATGGAAGAAATGGGGTGGGATACCTTAGCAAGGTTTGTAGTTAGGGTGGTGCTGGAGGTTTTTGTTACATGATTAGCGGCGGATTTTGGAAATCCTCCGATGATGGTTTTTCCCCCTAGACCTCCACCTAACCCCCTATGAGAGTTGCCCGTTCCTGTCTACAGTTAGTGCTTTTTGGTAAAGGTGGGAAGAAATATTTTGCTTTTTGGTTGTAAAATAGAAAAAGAAGAAAAAAATCCTTATAAAATAAACAAAACTTTTTTCTTCAGTCCTATTTTTATTCTGTCGATTATATTGCCTAGTTGTTTTATTTACTTATTTGCTGTTTATTTGCATAAATATAAAATGAAAAAAACCATATATATATTTTGTCGATTATATTGCTTAGTTGTTTTATTTTACTTTATTTTGCTGTTTTATTTGGCTTAAATATTAAAAAGAAAAAAAAACCATCATATATATTTATATATATATATATAATATAATTCCCCCCCCCCCCCCCTCTTTTCTCTTTAAAATGCATGCGCCCTATTTCTTTTCTCTTCTCCCTTTCTCTCGACTTTTCTCAGCCTCACGACCTTCTTTTCTCTTTAAAATGCATGCGCCCTATTTCTTTTCTCTCTCCCTTTCTCTCGACTTTCTCAGCCTCACGACAGCGCCGCCTCACTCACTACCTCTCCCTTTTCACTCTCGGATGGCCAACACAGCAGTGCGACTCCACCTCTCTCTTTCCCTTCTCACCGATAGTGACGCCGCCGTGAACCTCTCCCTCTCCAACTCATTTTCAATCTTTCTCCCTCTAAACCCGTCGGCTTCTTCTCCACTGCCACCGACAGGTAAACATTCAACATATTTTTCTTTCTTTTATTTTCTTAGTCTTTCATTTTTTTGCAATTTTGTTTGAATAAATTTTCATTTCCATTCCTTTCTTTCTTCTATGAATTTTTTGCGCACAAATAAAATTATAGCTATCAAATATTTTTGTGCAAAAATGGTGCGAACCAAAAATATTTCTAGAGATCAGCAACAGGACACCCGAAAACGACGAAAGTCCACTACAACTGATGTCGGAACCTCTTCATGACGTAAATGGAAAGCTCTTGCTTCGCAGCTTCCTTCAGTGCCATCTGCAATAGAAAGCAAGGTAACATTTAAGAATATCAGGCAGAAACAATTTTATGCTTCCCTGATGAAGAGGCATGTTATACCATCTCGGTACCTAGACTTAAATGATTTGAATGAAATTAATATGCTTGAGCCTATTACTGCAATGTTTAGAAGTATGGGATATGAGACATTTTTGGTTCAGAGCTACTCAACCTACCAAGAATTGACATTAGAATTTCTTAGCTCTTTCCATTTTGAGTATACTCAGCCACCCTATGGGAAAATATGGTTTAGAATTCTAAGAAAAGATTGGAAAATATGCTTCGGTCGATTTAATGAATTATTAGGACTACCCGAAGCACCTAATGAACCATGTATTTTACAATCAGATTTTGACACTGAAGATATTTGGAAGAGTTTGACTTTTGGGGCCCCTCCTTAAAAAAATGGTGAGGAAAAATCCTTGTTCATTTATAGATTCAGTCTTAGGATTTTGCACCGACTGCTAGGACACACACTGTTAGTTATAGAAAAGAGTCCGGGCTCAATTTCTAAGACCGACCTTTTTATCCTCTATTGCTTTTTACATAGGCAGCAGATTAATAAGGGACCTCTTATTTATGAGCATATTGTCACCACCCTATTTGATGACTAGGCTATGATAGCTATTGGAGGTCTAGTGACGACTTTAGCAGTGGGATTGACTGAGTTTGATATGATGGACCTACCTTATCCAACCATTGAGGGTAGTACTAGATTAGATATAGGGACTTGGAAACAAATGGGTACAATTCAGTGGCGAGAAGCAAGATATGAGTTTATTAATAGATTTTGCTAAGCTTTACCAATCCCAGAGGATGGTGATTTACTTCAGAGCCTTGGAGGAGGAGGTGCAGATGATTTAGAGCACGAGGGTAGAGCTGACACTTCTCAGGATATAGTTTGGATTACATAGCGACTCGATCGTCTAGAGTCTTGACAGAATAATATTTTACAAGTCCTCGAGAGTCGGAGATAGCATTAGATGGAGATTTATCGGCTACTCTGACAACACCATCCTACGCCTACTAGTGTACCTTTGATATTCTTCTCTCCATAGACCGACCATCACCTTGCACCACCTGATGCTTAGGACTATTTGCTGCACATTTTCATTTATTTTTATTGCATGTTTAGAACTTATTTCTATTTCATGTTGTACTTTTATGACTAACATAACACTTTTATATAAAGAGTATTTTTATTTAGTCCTTTTTAGTTGATCCTGCACTTAATTCAGATTTATTTTTAAGATCAACATCGGCACCATCAGTATGATTCTCTCTCACCCTTCATTATTCTTTGATTAAAGACATTGGGGACAATGTCTGATTTAAGCATGGGAGAGGGAAACATAATTCTTTCTTTTTTAATAAATCAAGTAAATTAATTATTTTAAAGATAGAGCTCAAAATTTTATTTTCTATTTCCAGAGAAGAAATAAACTTTCTTTCAATAATTAACTCTGAAAATGTTGATTATGCATCATTATTTCTTGTGGTTAATTCTAAATAATTGGTCGTAATAAGTCAGTTAGCTAGTAGGAAAATATTCACTCCCTTAGATTCTAGAACCTTCTTTATAACTATTTGAGGAGAAATAGAAAATAATTTTGTATATCCTTAGGAAAATGATCTAGGCATTCTTTGAATAAGCTACATCATGGACCGTTAAAATTTTTCCTACCCTTTGAACTTAATCCCTTGATAAGCCCCTTTGAGCCTTAAAAATTTGAATTCTTTTTGAGAAAACCTGAGAATATAAATCACCAAGCCTAAAACCTTTATTTAACCTTCTTATGTGAATTATATTCTCTGGTTAAAAATAAAAAATGGAAATAAAAATGGAAAGTGACAGGAATTCGAGATTTTTGAGGATGAAAAAATTGATTCCCTGAAGAAATCTATAACCAAAGGGAAATTCAAAGAAAAAGGAAAAGGAAAGAAAAAACAGAAAGAAGAAAGAAGAAAAAGAAAAAGAAAAATTCAAGTTCCCAAAAACAAAAAGGGAATAAGAAAAAAAAAGAAAGAAAATTCTAGGAAAATATATATTGAAGAGGAAAGTGAGAAAACGTGATTGAAAAGGAAAGAAGAACTGTCAAAAATATTTTTAACTAGAAGTATGAATCACATATTACTTGAGCTTAAAATAAATCCATTTTTTATAATCTCAATTTTTCCCAGAGCTCCATTATAACCCTGGAAAAAGACCAGTTGACATTAAAAGATGCACAAATTCTTAATTAGTGGAGAAGAGTTCTTAAGGATAGGCTTATGAAATCTAAATGGAGTTTACACCTATAATTCTATTCCTATGAACTGACTATTTGTTATGGCCATTCTTTAAAATTTTTTGCTTATTTATAATATTAGCATATAAGAGTTAATTATTGGATGAATTTTTATCATTCTTAGAAATTGAGCTTAACAGATTCAATTCTTGAATTAAATAGTTAATTTGCAGGATTTAAGAAAATAGAAAAATAGAGCTTAGTTACTTGAGGACAAGCAATAGTTTAAGCATGGAAAAAATTTGATGTGATGAAAATACTTATATATTTTTATACCAAAATCCCCTAAATTAACTAATAAAATGGCTATATTTGTGCACTTATCCCAGGATATTTATAGAATCGCATTTTTATACGGGAAGGAGCCTCAGAAATTAGAAAAGATATATTCTTCATAAAATCTAAGGAAAATTTGGCAATTGAATCTGAAAAAAGAGTTAATATTGCAAGCCCATTTTATAAAGCCCAAATTGAGGACGATTTGCGAAAGAATGAAGCCCACAAACGATGCCTAGAAGGAGAAAAGCCGAAGTCCAACAAGGTGTGAACTTAGGCTATCACCTAAGGCATGAAAAAGGAGAAGAATGGAGATAGGCTATCGCCTAAGCCAAAAAAAGGAGGCTAGGAGACCACCCATGTGCACTAGGCGATCTCCTATGCCCAAACTTACACCCAAGCGATCTCCTATGCCTAGACTTACACCAAGGCTATCTCTTACGGCCAAGAGACTACTTAAGCGATCTCTTATGGATAAAACACTACTCCAAATGATCTCCTATGGATACTAGGCGATCTCCTATGTGCCAAAGCCAAATCATCCGATCGCCTACACCAGTTCCAAGGCTAGAAATTTCCATTCATTGAATGACAACTCATGCTTAGCTGTAATCTGATTGAATGCAGCCCACTTGCCCCACTTGCCAAATTGCGTAGAAGAGTAGCTTCCAAGCATCTGAAATTCTATAAATAGCAGCATAAATTGACAGAGAAAGGGGCTAAAAGGTTGAAAATGTAGGAATTTTAGAATATTACTCTACAAATATTTAGCATAGTTTTATGTTTGTAATCTCAGAGGTGAAGAGAGGAAGGTGTGAGCAACAGAGTCTCTAACTAAACAGAAGCCATACATGATCCGTCATTCTCCTCCGTTATTATATGTTATTTTTATGTTCTTTGTTTTATTATCGTTTTTATCAAAAACAACATTTCTGTAACTCTGTTCTTTTTCCTCAATAAAAGATAAGGATTGCTATTTGGTTGTTTATATTGTTTTATCTAAAATGAGCAAGTAATCCAGCAATTCTGGGGATGGATTAATATCTATTACCTCTGATATACTGGGCGACTTTATTAAAAATTGAATCATCTATAATGTGATGTAGATTTCTGGTTCAATTTATGTAAGACAAAAGCTTGTAAAATAAAGCCTGATCCCTTTATTTACTTGACATTAGGTAGGTGAGCGAAGAATCGAGAGATGAAGTTCAAGCACCTGAACCACATAAATTGAGCATTAATTTTATATCTAGAAAAAGAATAAGACTAATGTTAAAAGGAAAAAGCTTATTACGCATGCAATGTCCGTAAGGCGTCATACGATTGTTATAGTTGCCTACCTACAAAAGCTTGTAAAATTAAGCCTGATCCTTTTTTACTTGACATCTAGGTAGCGTGAGCGAAGAATCGAGAGATGAAGTTCAAGCACTGAACCACTAAACTTTGAACCACATAAATTGAGCATTAATTTTATATCTAGAAAAAGAATAAGACTAATGTTAAAAGGAAAAAGCTTATTACGCATGCAATGTCCGTAAGGCGTCATACGATTGTTATAGTTGCCTACCTCAAAAGAGGAGAAAACTAACCAAAACACTCCACCCTTCAGAAAATATATCACATGTGCTTATTTCACTGCCACCCACTTCTGGATAGTAATGGATTAATCCATCACCAAAATACTTTCTCATTTATAAATTCAAAAAGAAAAAAAATATCTAACCTCTAACGTCTAACCTCTAACCTTTAACTGCTAACTTCTAACATTTATTTTATGTTATTTAATTTCTTTTAATTATTTTATGTTATTTAATTTCTTTTAATTTCTGCCCTTCTATTTTACTACTCTTTAATTTCCTGCAATTTATTTTATCATACTTTTAGTTTATGCACTTTAATTTTATTTATTTTATTTTACTGCTCTATTATTTTTTCGCAATTTAATTTCTGTCATTTTAATTCCTGTTAAAGTGAGGATGCCTTATCGTATTCGATCTTTCCATGAAAGGAAAAATGGAAACAAAATAAGCTTAGTTAAGTTTATTTATTGAAAAGCGGTTTTCTTTTATTAAACCCATTTACTAATCTTTAGAAGCGATGATCCTCTTGAAAAGGGATTGTAAAAAGATCTCTTACATTAGTAAGAGTTTTAGTTTAAGGAGTCGCCACCATCTTTAGGAAAAATTCTCGAATTAGTCTGTTCGAAAACTCAATTTTAAACCAAAAATGGGGTTCAGGAGTTAGGAACGATATTGAGAAGGTGTTAGGCACCCATATCGTCTGGTTAATTCGGCCTCCTCATTGTCCACTAATTCAAGAAGGATAATAATATGATTACTTCTAATTGAGGTGTAAAATGTATTTTGATGCAATTTCAAAAATCATGTTAATCATGCAAATTGATGAAACAGATAAACATAAAATAAAGCATCCACAAGAAAGGGGGGAGGAAAAAAGAATACAACCAATCTCCTAGAATATAATCTATCCTTGACCCTCTTAAAATTTTCCAAAACCCAATAAATATTATAAGCAAGCAATTATTAGGAATCCATTTAGGACCCTTTACATTTAGTCAATACAAAATAAAAACAAAGCAATAAAGAATCATCCATATAACATGAACACAACATAGATGACATTCACAGAATTATATAACACACTCAGAATCACAAGACATTCATTCATTCAACTAATATTTAAAATGATGCATGTTTATGTTCAAAGGTTAATAAATAATGGGTTAGTGCAACAATAATCATAATACAACGAATAAAAGGGCATAAATCTAAAGGACAGAATATTAAAGGTACTTAAAAGTAAACGACATTAAATTAAAAGCAATAATTTAAAGGTCAAGATAAGATTAGAGTTCAAGGTCTTGATGTTCATCATGAATGATGAATAAATACATCTATCACTACTCAAAATCATGTTTATTGATGTTTATTGAATCCATTTGTTCACTACTCAAAATCATGTTTATTTTAGAGTTCAAGGTCTTGATGTTCATCATGAATGATGAATAAATACATCTATCACTACTCAAAATCATGTTTATTGATGTTTATTGAATCCATTTGTGACATAAACGCATCCCAAATCAATAAAGTTTGGAGCTTTGCCACTGGATATCCAAATTGGGTCAATTTTATTGTTATTTATCAATCTAGACTTCTGAAATAAAGTGTCCAGCACCAGGCAAAGTGGCATGCACCATATAGGTATGGCGTGTGCCACACGTAATGGCACTAGGCATTTCCCTAATCAGGATAGTCGCAAGTTGAAACAGAGGCTAAAGGTGTGAATATGTGGGGAAGTGGTGCGAGCCAATTGCTTGTGGCATGCACCACATGTAGTGGCTTGCGCCACTGTGGTTCTCAGTGCACCACTTCAAAGCAGACTCCCTCTTTTGGTTGACCCCAGGTTTCTCTCATAACCAGGCACAAGAATGGTGATTTAACACCAAAATAAAATGAAAAAGAGATGGAGAAAAGGATTAAAGCCCTCAGAAACTACCTTTTTGAAGATTTTCCCAAAGTTTATGTAAGAATGTATAAAAAAAACCCAAGAGTTGAGTTTTTAATCAAAAAATTCGAGTTTGAGATTAGATAAACGTGTTTCTGGACTTTTCAATGAATCCTTAAGGTTTTTCAATCAAAAAAAGATGTGAAGTAAGTTAGATCAAAGTAGGAACACTAGTTTTACTTTGATTCTAGGTTAAGCTTTGAAAATAGTAGAGTTTCTTTATGGTTACCAAAAAAATCCTCCTCTAACACAATTCCCAATACCCTATTTATAGGCAAATGGGGATGAGTTGCCCTATTTTAGGGCTTATATGGCAAAAGTGCCACTGGTGCACCCCACAAAAGGGCCGGGGCTATTTTTACAAAATCGGATCAGGCAGCATGCAAAATGAGGTGACGCACTGAGAAGTGTGTTGGGACGCCCAGTGACCTCAAATGTAAAAATGGTTAAACACGTGTATTATCTCAGCCACGAACCATTGGTCTGATAATCAGGATGATAGGGAATCCCGATCCAAACTTATGTTAAAAAGTTTATCATCACTGAACCTTTAGGGGGCAAAATTTGAGCGTCTACAGTATAACTCACCCCTTTATTGATTCTGCCTGATAATTTCTGCCTGATAATTAAGTATTCAAAAGATTCTAATACTCAATCCTTCCAATCCCTATGGATACGATGTTTATATACTACTTGCACGACCCGTTAATACTTGTGATATAAATGCATAGGCATTAGCCGGGCAAGCGGATCACTCGCCTACTGTGAATACTCAAATTTTGAGGCTCAAAAAGCCTACTTTTTCGGACTGCAAATAGTCCGACCGGCCATTTTGAAAATTTACCGGAAGTATGCCAATATGGTACTTGAAACGTCCGAAAAATTACGGGGATCGCAGAATTGGTCCCGGAATATTTTTTGGAGGTACGAAACTCCCGAAAAAGCCTTCGGAACGACTTTTTTACTCACTCAGTCTGTGTTGACGGACGCTCTCTTCTCCCCTACGCTTTCTCCCCTCGCTCCTTTGCGCTTCTATTTATACTGTGCTTTTACTGTCATTTATGTAGCTTTTATTCTCTTTGTATACTCTTGTCACTTTAAGAAACTTAATTTTAATAATTATTCCGCCACGATGATGTAATCTTGAATTTTCACACTACAAAGCTAAGAATTGTCCGCCTTTAATCATTAATAACGAAACCTGCCTATCTAATTTGCATCATGCATATTCTCTTACTCCTAATTCTACAACTGCATTCAACCATGTCATCATTTTGGCAAATAATTTGCCTCATTAAATATTTAGGCAAGATGCCGGGAATCACATTAATCTTAATTCATGACAACTCCTACAGTTATAGATCTAAAAGCTGTTAATTAATAACATGATAAGTACAATCGCCTTTATTTCGAACATCCGCGCTAAAGTCCATATTAATCAATAATTGTGGATAAAGCCTTATAATCGACGTGTTATGTTTTTCTTCAGCACAAATGCCTATCAGTCTAATCAATCACTATGCTGCCAACAAGTGCTAAATTCACATCAATTATTTTGGCAAAAAATGCCTGAAATTCAATCATCTTTTGCTCAAAAAAGCTTTAAATTCAATCATGTTTGCTGACATATGCCCAATCAACACTTTTGGCAACTTAATTCCTATCAACTATTTTTGCGCTAAAAAGCCTTGAAAATAATCTAATTTTCAACAAATCCCATCACAGTCAACATTGTTCTGCAACAAGTATGCCTAATCAAATCTTTTGGCTAAAAAAGCCTTAAATTCAACACTTTTTTGGCATACAAAAAGCCTAATTCAAATCAACTCCAAGTTCTTTGGCAAAATGCCTAACAAAATGACAGAACATACATCACACTCAGTGCATTAAGCTAATCATTCAAGCCCTTTTAAAAAAGCCTTCGAAACTACGGCCGGACCTTTGATCTTCCATTCAACGATAGGAACGTAGGCATCAGTTTGGGGTTTTAACCCCGACGGAAGCGAAATAACTTAAACATTTCATTTCCAATACCTGCCGAAGCATGTCATCCACGGTAGTTAATCAGCATGACATCATCTCGGATCCACCTCTCGGTCGTAGATTTTGTTATAATTAAACAAGGTGGCGACTCACACATTCACGTGCATTTCTGCCCTTTAGTCATATTCATCATATGCCTATGTTTTCGGGGGAGGGGTTCACACCTACAGCAAAAGATGCATGGGTAAAATTAGACACTATATTCTCCTCTGGAACACACATACAAATCATGCAACTTCAAAATGAATGAAACACTTAAAAAAAGGATCTGAGTCAAATTGACTTTCATATGAGGCGAGACAAACTTATTTTTTATTAGTTGGTTATTCTTTAGGCTTTCGTGACTGAAGATTGTTTAATTAATGATATTTTGGAAGGATTAGATCCTGAATACCATCCTTTTACAAGGGCAATTGA